GTGTGACTTCCAATCTCAGTGGGGCAGAAGGAGTTTCTCAGTCAAGGGTGCTGAGAAGGCATTTCCTGGCTGGGCAGTGTCTCCAGCCTAGCCGGAGACTGGAACTGAAGGACTGGCTCACCACTCACTGCAAAGCCCAAACGCTCCAAACACAGACAGGCAGACAATTATATTCTAAGAGCTGGGCCTAAGGTGGTGTCCCAACTTCTCTGTTACAGCTTTCCAGAAGCCACAGTGGTGCTTGATGGGGACTCTGGTTTAATCATATTTTTAAGCTTTACATAAGAGAAGTTCCTAAATCTCTGCTCAGATGGGAGAACAACAGATGCATCTTTCAACACACAAACCTGATGGCCTCGGAAGCAGGTAAGTAGTCTGCAGATCAGTCAGCTGGGGAAACATTAGGAAGGGGGCCCTGAGAGTAGTTTGCATTAAGTTCTCAGGTGAGCCTCATTCTCCCACCTGCCTAGCCTTAGAAGGCCCCTGAGAAGGCCTGGCCTGGCCCTGCCCACAGCCTTGGCAGCACCATTAGGGCCAGAATCCAGCATCACTGGACTGCAGTGTTAGTCCAGTGCCATATCCAGGAGAGAGGGCTGTATGTGGCAGAAGCAGGGGTGCTGCTGGGGCAGGAGTGAGCTACTGTTTCCAGCAAACACTGTTCGAGCTGAACTGGTTTCCTCATTTGTACAAGGCTTTCTTACTTTTCTTACTTAAGGCGTAATTCAACGAGCACAGATGTAAAAGCACCTAGTGGCCTGGCCATCTGATTAAATGGAGGTACACAGCAGTTTCCATGGGGTGCTGCCTCCATTGACTCCTCTCAAGAGAAGGGGGTCAGGGCAAGATGTTCTAGCTATGGGGTTCTCAGCCCTTGTATAGGACACTGCTTCCTCGCCCCTTCTGTGGACACAGAAAGGAGGGAATTTCCATTCCCCATCCCAGGAGACAAAAGCAGAGGGCACCCTTAGCCTGTCTCTGTCCTGTATTCTCATCCCTGCCTGGGAGAAGACCCCCCTCCTGGGGTCTGGGAAGGAACTAAGCATGCTCTGTCATTTCTTCCAGCTCCCCCTGCACCTGTAGCTCCTCCCTTTGAAGAGCCATTGTCTACTTACCTTGCATGGCATAAGAGTCTTTTAAATTCTGAGGCAACGTTTTAGTAATCGTTTGGCCTCAGGTCTAATGCAATATTCCTTTAATCTTAATTTAAAAAGCTGGTGATTTGTAAGGCTGAGGCAGGAGGATCAGAAATTTGAGGCAAACCTCAGAAATTTAGCAAGAATCAGTTTTAAAAAAATAAAAAGGGCTGCGAGTGTGCTTAGAGCACTGTTGGGTCCAATTCCTAGTACGAGGGTGGTGGTGGTAGGGGGAAGCTGTCATTTTAATCTCATTTGACTGTCTCCTGTCTGCTGGATCTTATTTCTTAACTGATTCTAAACTTGAGAAAGGGGAAAAATAGTTCCTTTAAGCCTCTCTAAACTAAGCATTTTCCAAGGTTGGAACAGGCATTCTGGAGCCACTTTTGAACCTTTGAAGAAACCATACATGATCAAGATGCAGAGGCAAATAAAAACGCATCTATTTTGCTCATCACAAGCTCCGAGTGGATAACACGTGTCTGCTTTAGCAAACAAATGAATTGCTACTGAGTTTGGTATGTTGACAAAATATCCTTTAACATAGGATCCAATGAGGGACTATGTAGAGTAGTTCTGGGGGATAAGAGGTTGCGTCTGAGAGGCCTTGACAGCATTCTGGACTCACCTCTCAGCACTGAGATTGAGACTGTCCATCTGCTGGTCTGTCACCATCCTTATGACCTACAAGGGTGGAGACTGAAGACTTATTTGTTTTATACACAGCATATGGATGAATGGATGCATAAAAAGAGGGAAGGTCTCAGCCTTGAAGGAAAAACTGAGGTAGAAAGCAAGAGAGCACCTTCCCTCTCTGGCAGTGGCCAGTCTTGCCCTACTGCTAAATTCCTCTCTCACCAGCCCCCTGCTGCAGAGCCCTCTGCAAACAGCCTCTGTTGGACCCCCTGTCACCCTGCGGGATGTTTCCATGGAGCTCCCTTGGCAGGCTGTGCAGGTACCAGCTTTGCAAGGTAGAGATTAAGGCAACCATCAACAGTCTGCCAGCTGAGTGTTCTTAAAGAATGAAATCCACAAAAATGAAAACCTAGGGAAGAACTTTTCTCAGGTTAGTGAGCATGACTGCCATGATGAGTTATCTTGCTGGGACATATCAGCTTTAAGAGACATATTGACCAGATGAAGTCCTTGCTGGGTGAGGGAGCTGGCATGAGCTAGACTCTCCTGGGTTTCCATGCTGGTGTTGTGGGCCTGGGCAGATCCATTAATGTCTCTGAGTTCCAGTTCTGGGTCCATAAAATGGGGTTAAAAATTCCTTCAAAGGGCTGTGGTGGAAGTGACAGAAAATATGGTGGGGAGCAGGTCTGTTGTTTTTCCAAAAGGACAATCTATAGCACTGGGCCTATATGACTGGATTGGTGATCCCTGATGAACATTTAAATTTTTTTTTATATGCCCAGAAAAAAACTAGACCAGTATGTTAAACCTATGATTTAACCAACTGCTCAAGTCGTGGTGAAAGTTGGTATGGATATCTGGTTTGAGCCTATTTAAAGAAAACCATCAAGTCACCAAAAAATAGTACAGATGGTAGGAGAGTGTGGCAAAAAATTTTGAACTGGAATTCAAAGGCCTGTTCTTTTGCAAGAATCTGAAGTCCACAAAACTCATGTCTGCCAGTAGTAGGGGCTCTACCTGCTGTGGCCAATGGCCAATCAAACCAGGCAGTTGGGGAAGGACTCAAGGACAACCTATTGTGGGGCAAAGCTGGAAAGAGTTAAAAGAAAGGGGTCTGCAGTTTCGCTGGCCCATCCCCCCACAGCTAATCTGTCACCTAATGAAGAGGGGCCGGCACAAGTGAGCTAGCTGGCAGTTCACTTACAGCGGACTGATTAAGAATGTTCAACCAACAGCAGACTGTAGACCTTTCCAGAGAAAATAAATAGAGTGTAGACTGTATGCAAATGTGTTTGTCACTTTGACAGCACGTCTCAATTAAGGCATCTCGCGGCTGTGGGTAGGCGCTGCGGCTGCAGCTGGAAGGAAGAGCCGGCTGCATGGCTGATCCTAGGGGCTTGACCCTAATCCACATGCATGCATTAAAAAAAATCCTGCCTTCCTGTACACTTGCATAATGCTGGCAGCCACGTGAGGGAAGTGACAAACGGGGGGGGGGGGGGGGGGGGGGAAAGCCACTTTCATCCTCTCCAGTTTGCAGACCTGTGAAGGCACAGACAGCTCTTATTTCAACAGAGTTTGGGGTGGCTTTTTTAATTGTTTATCCCCCACCCGCGTGCACGCACACACTCTCTTATTCTGCATTTAGCTGGGAATGACATTAAAGCATCTCTACTTCTTGCTGAAATGGAAAGAAGGTCTTTCTCCATTTCAAATAGGGCCTCCTTTTTTTTGTGTTTCGAAAATGGAATGTTTAACACCATGAAATCCCTCTCCCCCGCCCCCTCTTTCTCTGTAATGGGCTCCAAACTCCAGCAAGGGCTCCTTTCATGGGCAGGTTAGTGTGTGCAGGAATGAGGACAAAGGAAAGCAGGAAGCTGACTATGGAATGCCATGCTGGCGACAACCAGGGGCTGTGCTTTCAGCAAGCGCAGCAGCCGGGGAACTGGGGTGTGGATCTTTCCAACAGGGTCTGACCCTGGGGAGGAGGCAGCTCTTTGGGGTGCAGACTCCAGTGCAATTTGAAGATAATCATTAACCAAACGAGTGCCTCTCATTCATGCTTCTTTCATGCACTACATTTCAATTCTGAGAATATCCCTTTTAAGTGTAAAATCAGAAAAGAGGGTGAATCTCCCCAAGTTAAAGATGTATGAATGTATTATCTGAACAGATTGATTAGAGAAGAATGATTCTTATGTTTCAACCAATTCCAATTCACACCTTACAATAATAGCTACAGTTACGATTTCATCAGTTCCCTTTATTTCTTAAATAGCTCTATGCTGGGTATATAGTAGGCCCTTGATAAACATCTTTCAAAACCAAAAATATTTTAAAGGTAGGATTCTAGTTCCTTCATATGGTGAAACCGCAATCACATTTAAAGTAAAATTCATAAAGACTAGTTTAATCATGTCTCATCTAATAAGTGGCTAAAAAAGTCAGGTGATTTAAGAATAAATTATCTTACAAATTCTTATTATAACCATATCTTGCTAATAGAGCCAATTCTCATAAACCACAAACAAACAAAAAGACTTAATGCTAACCAGAGTCAAGAGAAGTAGGGAAGGGCACACGATTTTTTTCAACCAAAAAGATGACCATGGATAGGAATGGAAAAAACAATTTTAGTTTCTATACAGAGTATAATGTGTTACTTAAGGGGGAAAAAAAATGAGTAGACAATTTTTCAAATGCTCAAGTCGTTGAAAATAGTTGGGTAAAGAATTGGATCTCTAGAACTGTAGCGAGGGTGTTTACTCTGAGAAGCAAGACTCCTGATATTGATTTTCAGGAAGTACATTAATAAAGAACTCCTAATTGATTTTTTTTTTAAGACTTCGCTTGTTGCCTTTTATTTGAAGGTGCAAAGAAGGGCCTGGGATGCTAAAGTGTTCTAATGAGATGCTTAGCTAACAGGGATCTTAAAGGCAATGCCTGGGAGTGGGGGAGGCAGCAGCCGCATTTAATGACTTCATTCAGCAGTGGAGCTAGTTGATGACCAGAGCCAGACTGTCTCCCCGAAATTTTTGAAAATTCACCTTCAAAACATGTTTGCACCAAATAAACATTTGACGACGTGAAAAACTCCATGGAGTTGCTCTGCCAAGGAGAGTTGGAATGAGGAACCGTCTGCCGCATGTGCTACAGCTTCTGCTATGAGCAAAACAACAAACCCCCAAACTGGAAAATCAAACAGACCCTGAAAAAGGACCAGGTACCTACCTGCCCAAAGTGGACCGTGATCGGCCTCCGGTCTTCTCGGAGCTTGGGGTCCTTGGCCTCCACCAGTGGGGACGGCATAGTCCTAGGCAGCTGCTCTTCTGTGGTGGGGGCACAGCCGTTCTCCGCGATGTCCTGCGGGGAGGAGTATGGTCCGGGGTTGGTGTCGGGGGGCTCCCTCATACCCCACAGCTAAGTGGCCTGCCATGGAACTCCCTCCGGGACATTCCAAGCCTATCCTCCTGGGAGAGATGGAGGAAATGGAAGGCTAACTTGGCCCTTTGACTTTTAAGGACTAGAGAAACTAAAATCATTTGCATTAAATTATAAAGATAACTAATTCTTAATAGTGAAAATAATCATCTTTCATACTATCTTACACAGCTATTTTCATTTTTACATATTCACGGTATCTACACACAGTTAAAAATTACTTGCAATCACAGCTCATGCTTAATTTTATATCCTGTTTTGTCTCAATATATTATAAGCATCACCATGGGTGCTACATAACAATTATAATAATAATTTTAATGGATGCATAATATTTCATTGAGCAGATATGCAACAACTTAATAAACCATTTTCCACTGCTATTGGACATTTGTTTCTAAATTTTTTTAACTTTCTAAATACCCATGATAAATATTGTAGTTTTTCTTTCTTTTGTATTATTTCTTCCATGGAAATATCTAGGAATAAAATTACTAGGTGAAAAGATGTAAACATTTTTCAGGGTTTTTATTCATTCTACCAAATTTCCAATTTACACCAACTACCAGCAATGGATGCATTATCGGTTTCACAGTCCTTGTTAGCCTTATCATTTAAAAAATGTATCGCTAATTTAATAGGTGAAAAATTAGACCTCATTGTTGTTTTAATTTGCATTACTTTGATTATTTGTGAGTGTGGACATTTTCTCCGTGTTCTTTGCTGATGATGTTACTGTGTGTGAATATGATGTGCTTGTGTCCCTCTTTCTACCCCCACCCAGTCTTTCTAAAAGAGAATAAAGAGTGTGAATTCTGATGTAGGGCTCTGACTGATTTAGGGAAACAAAGAAATATTTTTAGGGCTCTGACTGATTTAGGGAAACAAAGAAATATTTTTCAATCCAGAAATTTACATTTAATTTGTGCTTCTGATGATTTTAGAAGGAAAGGAAAAACCCAATGTGCAAAAGGCAGGTAATGGGTGCTTTGGCTAGCGCTACAGCTGACGGTGCACGTGGGCTATTTGGAGCATGGATATGGTACACAAGTGCAATGCAATAAGCATCACATATTGTATTCAGGTCAAGAAAGTTGCTTTGATCTTGACTGGAATGGGATAGAGAATAAATGTACAAATTACATGTAAACAATCATTTTGTTTTAACCAAGTACAAACAACTCATAGCCTGAATTAAATAATAAATATAGAAGGTAGGCGGAACTGCGACCACCGACAGAACAGGCCCAGCGGCCCACCAGCGTGGTAGACACATAGCCCCGGATGGGGGAGGGGCAGAGCCGCCACCCACGCCTGCAAGGTAGACAGACCTGCAACCGACAGACAGAACAGGCCCAGAGGCCTGTGCCTGCAAGGTAGGTGGAACTGTGACCCACCGGCAGAACAGACCCAACGGCCTGCGGAGGGGCAGAGCCGCTGCCCATGCCTGCAAGGTAGGCGGAACTGTGACCACCGACAGAACAGGCCCAGTGGCCTGCAGAGGGGCAGAGCCGGCGCCGGCGCCTGCAAGGTAGGTGGACCTGCTACAGACCGGCAGAACAGGCCCAGCGGCCTGCCGGCGTGGTAGGCACATTGCCCCAATTGGAGGAGGGGCAGAATTGCCGCCCGCGCCCGCAAGGGAGACTTTGCAACTATACAAGAGCAATATAAATATATAGGGGGAAAATTCAATAACACAACAGTTTCACCAAGCAGAAAGAAACGCGAACAGTATG